CCGCGATTAACCCGCGAGCAGGCCGAGGTCGACTCTCCGTGAGAGAGCCGGCGCGTTCCGTAATTCGACGTAATTCCCCGACTCGAGAAGCATAGGAAAATAATGACCGATATTAATCCATTTGATTCGGACCGTTTGTTGCGAAATAGGATGCGTGCTTTTCTCCTTTTTCTCCCCCTCCCCCGTCCTCCTTTTTCGTTCAACGTGCGAGAGCTCGCGCATTTTTGCGTCCGCTTATCTGCGCCAGCGATTCTCAGGCTAACCCATGGCCGCTCTCTATGCCGGGGAAAGTCGTGATGTATAAAGTGGAGGTTTCTTTAAATTCAGCTAATTGCGACTCATGTCCTAGGAGAGCCTGTATCCTTCACGCTATGGCCGTTATGGTCTGACCGACACGATTCATCGGGTATTTCTCAAAATAATGCTTTGTTACGAGTGCTTTTTGTGAATGCGTTAGTCATATAAAAGAAACAGGGTGGTGTCGTCCGTCTTCTATTCAATTGCCGGAAGGCAGACAGTGGTCTGGTGCTGACAAAGTAGGACATTTAAAAAAAAACAAAAAGATTTCGGACGCTACCCTTCTCAGGTAGCAAGACAAATTCGAGTTTCTTTCGTTCACTTTAAAGGTCGGAGGAATGTAAAATGACCGAATTCAGTTGGGACTTAGTCGCAGTACCGAAGTGAAACTCGAGTTTCGGTTCAACGGTCGTGCCTCGAAATGTTGAGAAGGATGTTCACACGTGAGAGGACGGAGGTTGACGTAATCAAGCGCGCTATTAATAGCACATCACTCCTGTTGTACTTATGAATGAGTACACGATTAATTCGAAACGCCGCGGGATTCACTCTAGAATGACGTTGCGAAACACAGGACCTAGATATCTCGTCAACACTTGGCCGCCGTCCGGGAAAAGCGAGACGAGTAATGCATTTTGGCGAAAACTAAAACACGCTGCCCGTTGTTAGCCGTGTGAGTGCCACGGGTGGCTGCGGAATACGTTCGGAAAGTGCCGAGTGATCGAGCTTCTGCTGTTTACGTTTACTGTTTCGGCTTTTCATCCACTTTTCACGAGAGAGTTGCGATAAAGATCACGAGTGCTGAAGTTTGGCTTTAGTAACACCTCTGCAAGTTATGACACTCTGATGGTGTGCTAGAATCTCGCAAGGGACTGTGCTCTTTTGTTCGGAGCCAAATAAATAAATTTTCGTGCCAATCGATAAAGAATGTTTCAATAAGTGTTGAGACTGAGAGAAGATTACATCTGCGAATTCCAGAAATGTGGAATTTCCATTGCCCCATATATTCAACGTAGTTTTAAAAAAGCCGGTTTTAAATCACTATAAAAAACAAGATTGGAAAACTAGAAAAAAGTTTTTTCCGAAAAAAAACTTGTTTTGAGAAAAATTGCTATTTTTGTTATCTAAAGAAAAAATATTTTAAGAGAAAATGTTATATTTTATTTGAAGAATAAACTATAGTTTCATTTATTTATGTGTGATTTGCTTTTTATTTCTCTTGTATTTAACATTATCATAAATAAAAAGAAAAAAAAATTTTAAGGTCAGAGATTGTGAAGTAAAAACATATAAGAATTAGAATATTATCACAGAGTCTCAGGTCTTAATAAGTATTTTCACGATACAAAACACTCTGTAATGATGTAGTAATTACCATATAATCGATATAAAATTGCAATACAATAATCCATAAATATACAGGATATATAATCTGCTGTCAGATTCCGCTTGTAAACTCTGACAGCATAACAGCAGATTGCGGACATAGATGATTATGGATTTGTTGACAAGTCACGTTCAATGTCGTTAGACTGCTAACAGATTGTTTACTGAATTCATTTTCCTTCAATTAATGCACGCAATTATCTTCTTTACGGAAAAAAGCAAATGTTCTAAAAAAGCATGTTCTAATTAAACACGCATGAATTTTTCCAAGCGAATTTTTTCTACTATAGAAAAAAACTAAAAAAATCTGCGGAAAAAATTGAAAAATAATCAAGATAAACCGAAATTGTAGAATGCTCCTTTGAAAAACTAACAGTAAGATTTGAAAAATGGCATATAAGGAGCAAGCACGAATGTCTTAGTGCTATTAGATATTAATACTATTTTTTAATATTAATATGATAGTGGGAGGATAATATGAAAAATAATCATCTTTTTTTCCGTATCTTCAAAAGATAGTTCAAAGTTTTTATTTTGTCACTTTGAAGATCTTCATGGGATTATTTTAAAAGTACCAAAATTATAATTAAAATTTATTCTTGGCATAATTCATATATAATGTATGGTAGGACCAATAAAAACCAAAGCACGGCTTTTTTTAGTGCAATTAACGAAATTTAAGTTGTCATTAATATTTATTTATTCTATTTGATTTTGATATCGATCCCTTTTAAGAATATATATCAGTTTTGCGGCTTAAATTTGATTTTGTTAGTGGCACTAAAAGATTTACACGTTGGCTCTCTTATTGACTTCGCTACCACTTTATTAATTTGATATTAAAGAACCTTTAACTTTTATCTTTAACTTCGCATAGAGAAACATTGTCGTCTAGAAGACGATGACAAAAGCACTAACATTGATCACAGTGTGGACAATGGAATTCGGAAATACGGATACAACCTGCAAAGTGACAAGAAGTTTTCTAAATCAAAATAGTATTCTCCCGGATACAACCTGCAAAGTGACAAGAAGTTTTCTAAATCAAAATAGTATTCTCCCGGATACAACCTGCAAAGTGACAAGAAGTTTTCTAAATCAAAATAGTATTCTCCCGGATACAACCTGCAAAGTGACAAGAAGTTTTCTAAATCAAAATAGTATTCTCCCGGTGTGATAAATGACCCAAATCGAAATTTTAATTATCATTTTGATATTTCTAAAATAATGCCATGGTCGCATAGAGATCTTCAAGGTGACCAAGTGAAGACACTGAACATATGAGGCAATTAACAGAATTCCAAATTTTTGGAACCCTGACAAGTTCGCAGATCTCTTCGATTTCAGCACTTATTGAAACATTCTTCATCGATTGGTACTAAAGTTTACTTATTTGGCTCCGGATAAAGGAGAACGGTCCTTTGTCAGCATATTTTCAGTGCGTACTCACTGTCGAAAAGCACTTTTGACTCTCTCTACTTTGGCGATGCACGCAGAAAAATATCATTTCACTGCAATGTGTGGCAGTTGAGGTTGCTTTGAGGCAACGTCGTCATTTTCTCGGAATAATCAAGTCATGATGAATGAATATGTAGAAACATCGCGCGTGATTGAGAAATTAGATTAATTAGAGAGAATTAGTAATTAGGTCTAGTGAATGTTTTGGATTGGATTGTGTACATCAGATTGTTCAATCATTGTTCAATTTCAAGTGAAAATACAGGCAGTGGTAGGGCCAATAAGAACCAAAGTACGGATTTTTTAGTGTGTTAACGAAATTAAAGATATTACTTGAGACGTTATTAACATTTATTCTCTTTCGAACTATTTAACTTTGAAATCGACTCCCTTTAAGAATAAATATTAGTTTTACGACTTAAATATGGCTTTGATTTTGGCATTAAAAGATTCGCATGTTAGCTTTTATTGACTCTTATTGACTTATTCACCATTTCAATAATTTGATATCAAAGAACCTTCAACTTTTATCTTCGTGTGAAAATACACACAGAAAACATCATTCTAAGAAAAGCTATTACTTTCTTTCTTTCTCTCTTTTTTAAATATATAAATGATTATCTTCAACAAAGAACACACATCTTCTTGATAATATAGTCTTAATACATATTCATCACAATTTTAAAAAAAGCTCATTATCACGTAAGAAGAATTAATTTTCTTTACGAAAATATCATAAAACTTTATCGAAGATAAAGAAAGTTGGTTCGACTCTATGTAGTAAATAAACCGAATTTTTGTATTAACCTAACCTTTCTTGACTTTCTTGACTTTCTTGACTCATGTAATTTTCTAATACACAAAGATTCGGGTTTGGTCTGTGAGAATTATTTTTTATTAATGAGAATGGAATATATATATATATATATCAAAAGTTTACTTCTGACATGAACTTTGGCTTATAGTTAAGTGCTTTTGGTTAGTTAAAGTGCATGCGCACGATAATAACGTTTACGGTTTCAAAAAAGTATCGATTTTATGTTCCGTCGGGCTGAGAGATCTAATCTGTTCTTTTTAGCTGTACTGCTGAACTGATGCAATAAGTTAGAGTAAGAAAAAATATAGTTGTCTTATTCTAACATATTGCCAGTTCAGTAGTACAGCTAAAACAAACAGACCAATCGATACGCGTGTGAGCCAAGGAAAAAGTTAGGTTAATATTCTTAGTGTGTACGATTCGAATGCTAAATTCGTTAAGATTCATAATCTTGAGTAAATCTTGAGTAAATTTGATGCCTATGATAAAACAATAATAAATTCACGAACATATAAAATATAAACGTAACGTTTACTCAAATGCAATATGTATTTTTGAAATGAGACGGCTTTGAAATGAGACGGGAGCACACAACGCGATAGCGCTGCGTAACACTCGAAGCAACACTATGCGTGTATAACCTCGTATGGAAGCACGCTCGCACATAATCCTGCGCAGCGAGATACACTCGTTCACGAGAAGCAAATGGAAACACACAGAGAGACGCGTTCACAACTCCAAGGTGAATCCCGACAAATACTGTCATTCTGTTTACGTGTCGTCCGCTTTTTCACAGGTGGCAGCGGATCCCTCGGCAGGAACCAGAGGTCACGGTCTACGGAAGGGAGGAAGGAAGGGAGGAAGGGAGGAAAGGAGGAGAAGGAGGAGAAGGAGGAGCAGGAGAAGGAGGAGAAGGAGGCGGCGGCGGCTGCTGTATGCGCGATTGACTCGCGGCTGTGATCGTCATCATCATCGTCGTCATAGGCGGCGACACGACACGACGTGTTGATATCGTTTATAAGCGCGTAACAAAACGTCTCACCTCGAGTTCCTCGTAGGTGCGGAAGGCGAGCATGGCGAACCCGTCGATAATTTCCTCCTCGAAGAGAGGCTCCTTCTGGTTGGCGGCCGCGAGGGAAGACTTCTTACGGGGCCTCGGGGGTCGCGGTGGCCTGGGCGGTCTCGAGTGGTGGCCGTCTCGCGGATGACCGGTCTTGGCGAGACCGAGGCCGAGGCCGCCGCCGCCGCCGGCGGGGTCCTCGTCCTCCCCGCTGTGGCTGTCCTCCTCGTCGTTCGGACGCTGCCGCGACTGCTGCGACTGTTGTTGCTGTTGTTGCTGTTGCTGCTGCTTCGCGCTCGCCAGGCTCTCCCTTTGCGCCAGCATACGCTGCGCTCGCTCCCGTCGTCGGTTCTTCTGGCTGCTACGTTGCTTCGCCTCGATCTCCATATTCGCGCGATCTCACACACGGCTGCTTCTCCGAGAACCAGGGGAATCTCACAACACCACGTTCGCCGAAGATCGTGGATCGGACGAACGCGTGCGCGAGATTCGCTCTCACTCGCTCTCTCTCTCTCTCTCTCTCTCTCTCTCCCTTTCTTTCTTTATATTTTTCTCACTTTTGTGATCACCCTCGGCGTGGTCTCCTGACAACTCTCGGCGTAGGGAGCTCTGCGGAGGCGACAGAATTGGCAACCACTAACACAACCACGACGACGGCGGAAACAGTGGCCACGACCAAGGATATAGAAGACGAGACGATGTCGACGACGACCGTGGCGGTGTCGTCGTGCATTCTATGGTCGTACCGACCGATCGTCCTGGGGCCGAGGGAAAGAGAAGAGAGGCGGAGAGTGCAGAGAGAAGGGAAGAGCGAAAGAAAAGCAAGGAAGGGAAAGAGAGAAGAACGAAAGAACGGAGGAAAGAAAGGGAGAGACTACGAAGGGGCGCACAGGGCACTCGGGGAGCGGGAGGGGCGGATAGGTAGAAAGACGGTAGGGAAGGAGTGAGAGACAAGGAGGAAGCGGGCAGAGAGGAGAGCGCACACTGCCTCAGGATACGCACTCACGAGACGTTGCCGTCGGCACGCACTGCCGTGTATGCACGTACGGGCACGTATGTATGTGTATGTGTGTACACACGCACGCACGCAAGCACGCACGTATGTTCAGGCTCGATATCCCTTGCCTCCTGCGCCCGTTGCGACGGCCAAGAGAGCGAGTCCTCTCGCTCGCGGTGCGTAACGCGATGCGTACTCGCGATATTGCCACGAGAGCACGGCTCACGACGGCACGGCACGATGTCACATCGATCGCGCGGTGGTCGAAGAAGAGGAGAGAGTCCGGGTGCGTGGCGAGGAGGCACGCGAGAAACACGCACGCAGGGCGGACAGACGGGCACAGATAGAAAAGGAGAGAGAGAGAGAGAGAGAGAGAGAGAGAGAGAAAGAGAGAGAGAGACAAGCAGAGTGAAAGAGAGAGAGAAACGCAGAGAAAGAAAAAGAGAGGAAGAAGGAGATTGGAGTGCGAGAGAGAGACACCGAGATTGAGCACTCACAGGCGAGTGAGACGGGCGCACGCTCAACGAGCACACATAGGGCCAACAGCAGCACACAGTAGATACCAAAGAGATAGATAGAGAAAGATAAAGGAGAAAAGGGGGGACAGAGAGAAAGCAATAGGCACACTCACGTCAACGAACGGCACACTATTATCATCCGACTCTGCTATGTACACCACCGGGTTGCACACTACATAGACTCCTCGCTACGGGCACAAGCGCGAATCACAGACACGCATTAACAACGGCACGCTCAGCGTAGCGCAGCAAGATCGACTGGATCGGCCATACGGGCTCGTTTCCTTCCGTTCGCGAACGTTCCCGTCACGAACGTAACAGCAGCGGTTGTCTTCGCCGTCGACCTCGTCGCGACAGCAGCAGCAGCAGCAGTAGTAGTTGTGGTGGTGGTGGTGCTAGTAGTGGTGGTAGTGATAGTTGTGGTGGTGGTAGTAGTAGTAATAGTAGTAACAGTAATCGTCGTCGTAGTCGCGCGCGCCGTTATCATCCTCCTCGCGTTATCGTCGCGATCGTCCGTCTTCTTCCTTCTCCTCCTTCGTCTTCCCCGGCCCCTCGCTTTCTCCTTTTCCTCCTCGCCGTCGTTGTCGTCGTCGTCGTAGCCGTCGAGCCGTACAAGAGACGTCGACGACGTCGTCGTCCACCTTCCCCGCTAGCACAAGCCGGCGGCCACGGGCCGTCGTTCTCTGGTCGCGACGTCACGTCGACTCTCGCACCGCCTTACGTGCTGCGGCCAGCGCGTCGCCGCGCGTCGTCCTCCGTCGCTCTGTCGGTCTGTCCGTCCGCTGGCTGGCTGACTAGCGCAGCGCAGCGCGGCGCGGCGCCTATCGTCGTCGTCGCAGCACGGCGGTGCCTCCGCGACCTGCCAGATGCACCCCGCTGCACGGAGGAGGAGGGCACGTAGCGCACCGATTGTTTGGAATGGCGGATCGAACGGGCACGCACGGTTGCCGCATCGTGCGCTGTAAAAATGGCCGCGCGCGCGCGACCTGCCTTCTGTGCACGGCTGCTTCCTGCTCTCCGAGCGGCACGGTTTCCTCGCCGTCCGCGTCGCCTGCGCCTCTACCTGACCCGACTGACTGACTGACTGACTGTCCGTCTGTCTGTCTCGCCTCGCCTCGCGTCGCGTCGCGTCTCGCCTAGCCTTCCGTACACGTCCGTTGCCCCCTCTCGTCCCGCTTCGCCGAGAGCGCGGGTACACAGCACACAGGAGGACTTCGTCGTGTCACGGGACGGTGACGCGTGACGCGCGTCTCCGACGCTGGGGCATCGTTGGCCGTGGCGTATTCTTATTACACGTTCAGCAGCACTCGGGACTCGCCACCGAAGGAGAAGCACTCGCGAGAGAGATAGGCTGCGAGTGCAAGAGGGAGACAGGACGGAGGGAGAAAGGGAGACAGAGCCGACAGACAGGAGGTAGAGAGAGAGAGAGAGAGAGAGAGAGAGCGCTCCGACACGGCGAAGAAAGGCACACGCCCCGAATTACGCGCGAACAACGCGATCTCGCCGATGCCGTCGCGTCGTGAGTCCGTCGACGTTCGCGCTCGTCGCACCGCTATGCATTCCTGTCATCCGTCTGGTTTACTATTCCCGTCTCTGTCGCGCCGCCGACCACGACCGAGGGAACATGGCGTACCTACGCTTCGCAGACGCGTGCATACACGATCGTCACGGAGAAGCGCACCACGGTGTTGTAGTTCCTCTCGTCTAAGGTCGTGGCTTCCCTCGCCTTGCGGCGTTGCTTCGTTTCCTCTCCCGCTCTTGTCCACATTGAAATGCACGTTTCTTCCTTCTCCGGCTGACCGATATACTCGTACCTACTCTCTCTCGTTGTCGCCGTCTAGGTACTTTTCGTTTCCACCCGAGAACGGCTAACGGTTGGGCTTACCTGTAACTACACGCGACACTCTCCACGGAGGCGCTGCTCGTGCCGGTGCGCCGGCGAGCCGCCAGATGCCGCCACGAGCTCGGCTGTGACCCTATCGATTTTTGATATCGCACCGTGACGGTAATTTTGGCACAATCGTGCCGGGAATGCGGAACGAGTGGCGGCGCGCGAATCGGCTCCACAGTAGACAACCGTTAGTAGTCGTCTATGATATGCGAAATAAGTTTAGCGTAAGTTGGAGTAAAAAATAAAAATAAACGAAATATGAATATGTGCTGAAAGGTCTGTGCAGATACCATCTCCCATACAACACAAAATCTCCTAGAGGCATCCTACAGATGTCCTGAGGACATAGAAACATCCCCAGGACGTTCTCAGGACATACTCTAGACATGTCTCCTGGACATTTATATTGTTAGAGCTAAATGAGAAGAATTATGGCCAATCAAAGCCACATACAACACAAAATCTCCTGGGGGCGTCCTACAGATGTCCTGAGGACATAGAAACATCCCCAGGACGTTCTCAGGACATACTCTAGACATGTCTCCTGGACATTTATATTGTTAGAGCTAAATGAGAAGAATTATGGCCAATCAAAGCCACATACAACACAAAATCTCCTGGGGGCGTCCTACAGATGTCCTGAGGACATAGAAACATCCCCAGGACGTTCTCAGGATATACTCTGGACATGTCTCCTGGACATTTATATTGTTAGGGCTAAGTGAGAAGAATTATGGCTAATCGAAGCCACATCGCGGTTCTTAGGTGTGATTGCCAATTAAAATTACATAAGGATAAATCTCGTTATTAGTTATGCAAATCAGACGCACGCCCGAATTATTTTTCGGTATTTACAAACGTACGCGGAAACCTATCACCAACTATCTTTTTATTCCTAAGTAGAAGATATTACGCGTTTTTCTTAACAAAATTCATTAATTGACTTGTTAATTGGTTCCAATCTGTATTGCGAAAAATCCTGCCGAATTGGTAAGGCGTCCTGCCAAGTAGGGAGGTTTAGGTTCGACTCCTGGTTGAGGCAGGTATTTTTTGCAACACAGATTGAAACCAATTATTAAGTCAATTAATCGATTTTGTTAGGGAAAACGTATCTAACATTTTCGTACTTAAGGACAAAAAGATGATTATACTACAAGGAAGGTTATCTTTCCGTATATAATTTTGATTGACAATCGCATCTGAGAACTGCGATATGGCTTTGATTAGCTATAATTCTTCTCACTTGAATAAAAATAACTTACTTCGTTTATACTTTAACCCTCTTACATCGGAAGTATTTCCTTTAAGGCTCTTGGATATTCGCGTAAACTGTCCTTGTTTGATGACATCGGAAGCGAGAAATCGTATGCTCACAATTCTTACGTTATACAGGAATTCGGGGTAACGAGAGCTTCCTCTCTAAAGTTTAAACAAGTTTTAAATATTAAAAATAAATAAACCATATTGGTTTTATACTAAAATATTCTTTGAACTATCCACTATAAGAAAAACATAAGTTTTACTGGGAAAGAATAGTTTAAAAGGACAAAATTATTGTTTTATCAAAAGCGTGAATTAACCTCATTATGCAAAATAGGATACTTCATAAAACTTTATTTCCCAATCGCTGATTTTAAAAAGTTTGTAAAAGTAACTCATTAAAATACGCAATATATAAAATGTATTATTGCATATTTAATTACTTATAATTATTTATTAAAAACATTTTTCTTCTAAAATGATAAAATTATATTCTTTTCTTATTAAAATATTAATAGCAATCATTATTTTTAGTATGGTAATCTTTGATATCAGTTTTTTTAAACATAGCACATAATAAGAAATAATGCAACTTAACATTTTAAGAATATTATAGCATAATCTTATTATACCTCGAAATGTATAAGTTTGGATTATGTAATATAAAATATCATAGATACAATATTTATACAGGTATTTAATTAAAATAACGAGAAAAGATCGTATAAAAACGTTAATATGCATACGGTAATAAAAAAAGTCTTTTCATTGTTTATGTATCTTATGTAAATGTACTAAATAAATTACAACGTAGTTGCAAAGAACGCATCAAATGCATTAAACAATTTGTAGTATCTTCCAGTTAAAAATAATATGACAAATGATAACAATATATGGTAAAAGACATCTAAAGTAATAATTGCAAAACATTTCGTTACATGGCAGCATCTCTGTAAAAAATTATCGACTATATTCCATTATGCTCCATGGTCTCGTTATGTCCCAGGTTTTTCTAGGACGTTGAAATAAAGAAATATATAACAACACTTGTAGTGTTGATTGTAGTCGATTTAGCATATTTGTAAAATGCTCCGAATATTCTTTTTTTACATACTATCAATAAATTAATCAATAAATCAATCTATCACAATCAATAAATAGTTATAAAATTAACATAACAAAAGTTTGATTAAAATCATGAGTTACACTAATTTTATAACTATTATTATTATTGATTTTAACAGCAAAAGGAGAGCGTTCGGATCATTTTATACATTTGCTGAGTCGATTACACAAGTGTCGTTTTATAGATACATTTTTTTATTTCAACGTATAACGCAAGAATCATGGACATGCGATTTCTCGTTTCTGACGTCATTAAACAAAAACAGCCGACACGAGTATCCAGGAGTCTTAAGTAAAAGAAATATTTCTGATGTAAGAGAGTTAGAGTTAGGCATAATAGCGAAATAAATTATATGTTCTTATTTTTTATTTTTTATATTTTTATTTTTTACTCAAATTTTTCTACTCCAACGCTAAGCTTACTCCGCATATTGTAAGCAGCTATTTAACATCCTATGAATTTTACGCTTTTACGTTGATTGAGATCACAACGTGAGTTTTCGCGATGGCTGGTTAGGGCGATTTGTGAATTGCTTCGCGTTCACAGATTCGAGTTATTTTCAAATGAGTTAAATGAAAGTAAAAGTATCAATTCCCAGACACATACCTAATTTTGGACATTTTTATTATTCTGTTCTTTGAATACCAATATTTAAATTTTCAACATGGAAAAATGTAAGTATATGCACAATACTTGTACATATATTTTATATGTTGAAAGTTTAAATATTTCTATTTAAAAAATAAAAAGAATGTCTAGGAATAGCTACGTGTCTGCGCCGGATTGGTATTTTTATTTTAAATAATACGATGAATATTGGGAAGGCGGGAAATGGTTTTGTAACCATGGTTGATAGCCATTACTTTACTGAGAGAAATTATCTGATAAAAAATTAACAGACAGATATTTTCGATCAAAATATTGAATTTTTATCCGATCAGGATATCTGATTAAATGTAATCAGATACTTCCGATGATAATGGCA